CCCCCCCCCCCCCCGGGGCAAGTTTTCGCTGGTCGGAGAAGCCCTCGGGCTTGGTGATTCGTGGCGCCACTTCCATGGACATGGTGCTATAGGGCCAAGCCTCTCGTACTCGCCCTCACGTTTCCAGAGCTGGTCGCGCTCCCAAATGGCCGTTCCCCGGTATATTATGCTGCCATAGCCGTGCTGGAGGCGTTCCAGCTTGGTCAGTTCGACTTCTAGGTCGAGCTTGTAGATGAACCAGGGCCTGCTCGTCAGGAATGAGTATGCTTCGGCGGCCGAAGTATCGGGCCCGGGGTGTCGCCGCGGGGCCACGGGAGCCCACCTCCCACGGCACAGGTTTCGGCGCTCGCGCACAGCGCGCACAATGGCCTCGTGCCGCTGTCTCGATATGCCTTCGTCGTCGTCCTCAGCCTGCTCCCACGGCCACCGCCGCTTGTCGGCAAAATCGCCGGGCTCCTGTTGGTTGCGCCCGGGGAACCCCCATTCAGGATTCCAGATGCCGAGCTGTTCCCACTGGGCTTTGACGAAGTGGCGGGTCAGGATTCCGAGTGGTCGATGGCGCCCGAGCGTCCAATACTTGTCGAGCCTCTCCCCCCCGAGGATGCTGCCTAGCTCCCACTCCGTTTTTTCTGCCTTGCCGAAATAGTTGAACTGAGGGCTGAGAAGCCGCTCCAACCGGCGCGCTGTCTTGGTTATCTCGTCGTCTCCCAGTGCAGGCTCCCTGATTTTGAGCGACTCTAGTGACATGACCCTGACATTCGCCAGCTCTCGGACTTCTCCGCACAGGGTCTGTAGGTCGAAGTTCATGTCCGAATCCACGAACGGGAGCCAGACGATGGCTCCTTCGTCCAGCTCTCCCGGCTCTCCCGGCTCCCCGGCTCTCTCGGCTCTCTCGGCTCTGTGGAGGGCCCACGTGGCGGGCGGCGATGATACGCAAGCCACTTCTCCGCGTAGTGGCGGTCCTGCGGGTTCTCCCTAGTCAGGGCATCAAGGACTTCAGGTTGCGGGTCCTTGAGCCTGTCGCGAATGTTTTGGATGCTTTCCTGGATGGTGGGCATTGCTGCGGATGGTGATGGCTGCCTGAAGCGCACTATGCGTGTGGTAGGATTGGCGATGACGGCGGGGGACGTTTGACTGAAGCTCGCTGCCAGTGCGCATGTGAAGAATATGGTCCGGCGCTTGTTGTCAACCAGACGGGCAGCCAGTTGCGTTGTGCGCCCGAGAAGCGGCAGCAGGCAGTTAAATACAAGGGAAGGGAAACAGAAGCCGCGTGTGCGCTCCGCATGTCTTGGTCGCCACCAAAGCGCACCGGTTGCGGGTGTACCTTCCTCTGGAACGGAATCATGACGGATGCAGCAGCGCCCACCTGACACGCAGGTGGTTGTACGCCTTACAAATTCCATTGGACAAAGGGCCACCACTTGGACGTTTTCAACCGCCAAAGCTGTCTGGTGTTGCTGGTGTTGCTGGTGCTGCCGCATGCGTTTGTCGCGCATCTGGGCGTGCCGAAAAGGAGAGGAAACCACATGGAATATATGATATAGGGAACAAAGAAGGCGCACGAGGTACGGGAAGAGATACAGTAAACGAGAAACATGTCGGAAATTGAGGAGGCTACCACCGATAGGGACCTGAACGGCACATTTCCTGAGCTTGGTGACTGGTCAAGTTTCACAAGACGTCTACCCAGGTCAAAGTCTTTCGCTGTAGGTCTTCTGGCCCTGCGCCTCATTTCCTACATTGCTTTTTCATGGACAGAACCAATGTGATGCCCGGTGCTGGTCGTCATATACATCTCTCTGGCCTCCTGGGCGCCGTCCCCCAGACCTTCTTGTCTTTTCTTTCCTCTCTCATATTCTCCCTCTTGTCCCGACGCACATTCCTATCACTCCAGTCCTTTCATTCTCCTCTTTGATCCATCCTTTCCTGTCTCAACACGCATTCCTACCACTCAAATCATTCCCGTTTCGTTCGATCGGGCCACCACCCATCCCCCCATCTCTCCCAAGGCCCACAATGGACCATCGCCCCATCAACCCGGACACTCTCTTCCACCTTGTACCCAAGAATTTGTTCGCCAAGGGTGCTCTCTACCAGAAAGATAACAACCGATATGCTTCGCAAAGCGGCGACGGCCAGCTTGGTCTGGAGGTCGGCTTCCATGTCCCAGCCAACCTTTACAGCTGCGGCATTATAACTCTCGGCACCCATGGCGACCTGATGCTTACCTCAAGGTGGGATTCTTTCCTCTTCGTCACTGGGCTCCGCTTACTGACCATCCCCCCTTTCAGCACTGCTCGGGATGTCATAGTTCGCATCCACGCTGCTTTCGAATATGACACGGAAAGCCATCTCATCTTCCTCGTCGATCTGTCCGGACCTGCCGCCGGGAGCCCCGTGCGCCTCGGGGAACACAGCGACTTCGGCAATATTTCGCCCCCACCGCCCATCACCCAGCCAAAGCACATCACCTACGGCATAGAATACACCGTCTGGGTTGCCTCGCTCGAGTTCAAGCTCGTCTGGCGAACTCTCTCGGGCGAAATCGGAGCGAACAGCAACCTTCTCGCGCAACTTGCTCTGGACAGCTACAAGAGATTCAAGGCACGCCGCAAACGGGCCAGGTCCCCGGACTGTCCGACCGAGCCCGAGACTCAAGAGTTTGACTCCCAAGACAGCACGCCCCTCAGGTCAACCAAAAAGCCCCGCCTTGACGATGTCGTGGAGCTTCACCAGGAGCTCACTGGAGCCGACGAATCCGCCTTTGGTGTCATCTACCAAACCGTGGACATGCACACAGGCCGCGTGGTTGTGCTCAAGAAAGTCGCTTCCACTTGCGACGGTCAGATACCACGACCCATTCGAGTATCAAGTTTGAAGCGAGAAGCCCAGATGCTGGAGAAAATGGATCATGTCAGTCGGTTCTCTTCCCCACGTTCGGGTTGCGGCTACCGCCGACTTCACCTTCCACCCCAGCGAGCCGCTAACGATTGGAAATAGAAACACGTCATCGAATTGCCTCGGCTGCCACGGACTCGAGACTATGGATCCAGAGATCTTCCTTCCTTTTTGCGACGGCTCCTTGGAAGGTCTGCTCCCGAACCCAGAAGCGAGAGCGGGTGTGTACAAAGCACTATCTCAGCAGATGCTGAGCGCACTGGATTACCTCCACCACAAAAAGTTCATCCACCGCAACATCAAGCCGGACAACATATTCTTCAGCCACTTGCCCGGGATCAACCAATTCCTCTTTCAACTTGCCGACTTCGGCCTTGGCCTGAGCCACCCTTCCGCCGATTATACGGCCGGGTACTGTACATACTTTGCCCCAGAGTCAGTGCCAGAGGTTTCCGGCATCGACGAACCCCAAAGTCACAAGAGTGATATCTGGAGCCTCGCGGCAACGCTCCTCGCGTGGCTCGGAAGGTTTCCGCCGCCTCAGATAAGCACCGACCCGTACCAGCAGGCGCTCTCAAATTTCCATGCCGTGCTCTCAGAGGCAGAGGTCTGCCACGTCATCAAGGCGATGGCGAAGAAGCACCCCGATGAGCGCCCAATCGCTGCGCAATTGCTCATCCGTTTCTTCGACGGCCGTGGCTTGACGCCAAGGCTCCAGCCTCTCTTGGCCATCAACCCCCTTGCCGGGCAAGGCGCCTTTGGTCGCGGCCCTTAGCCCCTCGGAAGTGGCCACCCCCCGCCGGCCGGTGACGTGGAATAGGCCTGAGGAGGGCGCCGCTTAGGCCACGAAGCGTCGTGTGAACCACGCCCCGGAGGCAGGCCTGCCCCCGCACCGCCCGGAGGGAAGGGTTAGCGAAGCCTTGTGTCGAGCCCAAAGCCAAGAGGTCAGACACTGTTGACACACTGCGGCAAGGGGTGGCGCGCAACGGGGGCCGCCTCTTGGTCTCAGCACCGATCTCACCTCCCTCCCTCAACGATGGGACACCCCCAGCACATGAACGGAATATGCTGCTTCATTTAGGAGACGCCCCCAACAAACACACACAGGGGCTACTTTCAGGATCGCCAGTCTTTTCTTTTCTTTTTCTTTTTTTGTATATCTCGGAGCCAGATCTTTTTTGTGCGCAACATGTGTGGAGCAGGAATAAACAAAAGGCATATAAACGGTTAGATGGCAGAAAGGATCGGCATGGAGTCGTGGGTGACATTGATTTTGGACCGAGAAACTGTATAGACTTGATGTGTTGGAGAAGTTGTAATCAGGGATGCGCTAGGGCGGGTGCAATGACATTGGGTTGGGTTCGTTTTCCGCTAGACCTCATTTCCTACTTGCTTTTACATCCAATATCACGCTCTTTCCTATCAGCTGGTCCTCCTCCCCTGCAAGATTGGCACATGTGCCCGATGATGACACCGCCCTTTGTGCGTTGCCCTTGACAGAACCCAGTCGGCAAGAAATTAGAACCAGGCAAGTGCAGTGCCGGAAACCTGCAAGAGCGAGCCAATACGGATACGCAAAGGACACACGCCGCCAGCGAGGTTGATGACAAGGGCAGTACAAGTCACCGCCATAAAGTCTAGAGGAGATTAAGGATGGGATGATAGAAACCATCGTTACTTGATGGACATGTATACTTGCTTAAATAATACCAACGACATCAGGCTTCGTAAACTGCTGGGTAGAAACTTTACTGGAAAGACATGGAAAACAAAAATAGGAAAGGCCCAAGGAAATCGTCTGGTCATAAGAACAAAAGCATGAGACAAAACAAACCCCTGTGTACCATCCGAAAGCCTAAAGCTCGAATTTGTATACATTTGAACGCGAAAATAAGAAAGAAAAACATTGAAGAAAGAAAAGAGTCCAGAAAAGGGATCTTGAGCCCAAAACGGAGCATGAGCCTAAAACGGAGCATGCAGCAGCCGCCGGTCCGGCGCCAGCAGTATAGGGTTCAGGCCCGTGTTTCCCCACGGGCCGTCAAACGGCGGCAGCAGCGACGGCAGCTTGGCGGCACCCTCGGTTGGCCCCACCCACCCCGGCGGCCCGACATCTTGTCCTTCCGCTTCCACCTCCCCGCCCCGCCGCAGCAGCCCCCCGTCCTGCGTCGGCGGCGGCGGCGCCACCGCCACCTCGTGCCGGAGCGGCGACGACGTAGCGGCCGGGCGGGT